ATCCATCATCCATCCATCCATCATTTCATCCATCCATCATCCATCCATCCATCCATCCATCCATCATCCATCCATCCATCATCCATCCATCCATCCATCCATCCATCCATCATTCCGTCCATCCATCCATCCATCATTCCATCCATCCATCCATCCATCATCCATCCATCCATCCATCCATCCATCCATCATCCATCCATCCATCCATCCATCCATCCATCATCCATCCATCCATCATTCCATCCATCCATCATCCATCCATCCATCCATCCATCCATCATCCATCATCCATCCATCCATCCATCATCCATCCATCCATCCATCCATCATCCATCCATCCATCATCCATCCATCCATCCATCCATCATTCCGTCCATCCATCCATCCATCATTCCATCCATCCATCCATCCATCATTCCATCCATCCATCCATCCATCCATCCATCCATCCATCCATCCATCCATGCATCCATTCATCCATCCATCCACCCATCCACTTATCTATCTATCTATATCTATATCTATCTATCTATCTATCCATCCATCCAACTAATATTTATTAAGTATCTGCTATGTTCCAGGAACTATTCTAGGCTCTTGGGACTCAATGATGAATAAGACAGACAAAAATCCCTGCCCTGTGGAGCTCACATTGTAGTGAGGGGAGGGGAAACAGACAACAAGGCCATAAATAAATACTATGTATAACCAATTAGATGCTGATAAGTACTATGGAGAAATATAAAGCAGAAAAAAGAGCTGAGGAGTGTTGGGGTGGGTGGGGTTTGCAGTTTTAAATAGGATGGTTAGGAAGTCCTTACTCCTAAGGTGACATGTGAGTAGAGAACTGTAGGAGGTAGGGGGGTCAGCTGTGTGTACATGAGGGGTATGTACTTTCTGGGGTAGAAGGTATGGCAGGTGCAAAGGCCCTGAGGAGGGAGGGAACCTGCCTGGTGCGTTGAGGAAAAGCAAGAGAACAGGCAGAGGCTGCCCTGACTACTTCCTTGTCTCTTTCCAGGTTGGCTGGTTCCCCTCCAACTATGTGGAAGAAGATTATTCTGAATACTGCTGAGGTTTGGCACACTGGCGGAGAGATGAACAACTCCAGCCTCTGAGCCCAGGATGAGCAGGCAGCTGGACCAGGGACTGTGACAGGTCCTGGCGGGCTGAGAATCTGGGATGGACTGCGGAGGGCCAGCGTCCAGCTGGCAGGGCTCCTGGACTGATGCCCTGTCATGGTTAATTTATAACACACTGATTTCCTCTTGGGTCCCCTCGAGAAGGCGGGGCTCAAGGCAACTGCTTTTAATAAAATGATGAATGGAGGCGCTGGTGTCGTTCAGGAGGACCTGGAAGGGGAAAGATGTGGAAAGGCACTGGGGCACCGACAAAAAGCCCTTTTTCCAATCCCTGCCTTCCAGCTTTATCACCTTTCTCTGCCGTTTAAAATAAGACCTGAAGAAGGAAATGAGACCCCTTGTAGCAGGAAAGAATTTTACACTCACAGATTCCAGATCACAAAAACATAACTCGCATTTGTTTTTTCTATAATAGAACTTAATTACAATTTGGAACTCCTCCAATTCTGCTAAGTGGTAGAAACATCATCTCAGTTAAGTCCGGATCTTCTTAGTCAATTCTCCCCAAGATCACGTTTACATTCCAGGGGATTTGGCATTGGAGTATTGGGGAGACCACTGGTACTTGGTGGTTATCTTCTATCCCACTGCCACCTGCTGAGATGTCATTGTTTCTGCCTTACCTTTGGTTCCTCTGTGTCTTCCACATCCCTCTTGGCACGTGCAGGACATCTGGCTGTTTCCCCTTAAATGCTGGGTGGTGTGACTGTACAGCCCAGTTTACCCAGGAGTCCTGGCTATTGTCCTGGTGTAGTGGTTAATCATGATTCTTTTCATTCTCCAAAGCATCCTGGTTTGATTGATACATTATATGGCTACTGTCTTAGGTTGGGCTTCTCCAGAAGCAGAGCCTGAGACAAGGATTTGGGCGTGCAAAGTGTGTCTGGGAGGTGATCCCAGGAAGCAGCCAGAAAGGAGTGGAGAAGAGAGATGGGAAAGGGAAGGAATCAATACAGGGAGTATTGATGAATGAGTGACAGCTGTGGGCAATGGGGGGCTCATTCTTGTTGGGGACCCCTGAAAGTCAGTGTAGAACATGCTTGGTGTTGAGGGGCAAGGGAGCTGGGGTATTTATCCACCAACATCCATCCATCATAGCTCGAGGGCTGCTTGTATGTAGGTGGTTCATGCTCTGGTGGCCACAGAACCACAGACATTTTTGGAGCCAATGAACTGTATGGATATTGGCTGTGCTGGGGACCTATGAGTGGGGCACCAACGGGGTCTGCTGCACTCTCCCTAGTACAGAGAAACTGCATCCACATGCTTTTACAGCCATCTCTACTCAATGGATGGCTGCTATATGCAGGGTATGGGGAAACGCTGTAGAACTTGCTATATCCTGGGATCTGGGGGCTCCCGGGAACCTTTTTTTCCTCATATCACCCTGAAGCCATCTAGGCTGGGGGTGGGCAGGTAGGATACATGGATGCATCTCTGAATTTAACTGTATTTTTTCCCACCCAACTCTTCCTTTCTGCATTGGGGAACCATGATCTATTTTGTTGCAAGAGAAGTTGACTCAGCCTGATAAATGCTCTTCTACATATATGGCCAGACTTTTTTTTTTCTTTTTTCACTAAGACTTTATATTGTGGCAAAATACACATAACATAAAATTTACCCTCCTAACCAGTTTTACAAGTACAGATCAGGAGTGTGACATTTGCAACTACGGATCAGTGTGACATCAGTAGTGTGTCACACTGTTGTGCAACCAGTCTCCAGAATTTTTCATTTTGCAAAACGGAAACCCTGTCCCCATTAAGCAACAACTCCCCATTCTCCCCTCCCCCCCAGCCCCTGGCAACCACTCTGGCCAGACTTTCATCTGGAGTCCTTCAGGGCTTAGATTTTTGAGGCTCAAAAGCCAATATTCAGAATCTCTAAATAAGCTTTTGAAGTTCAAAAGCCAGGAAGTTGCTTCTTTGGTAAATCTCCTGCAGGCTGCAGGAATAACCATGAAGCGAAAAAACAGTAGTTCTGGGGCTGGGGAAGTGTCATGGGGTACACGTTAATTTGGGGGAAAATAGTTAATACTTCTAAATATTACCCCACCACACTAATAACGGAGGCAGCCCCCCATGCCAAGTATTCAACGTTGCCTGGTGCCGTGATAGTAAGCGCTTCATACACATTATCTAATCGAATCTCACAACTAGTTGAGCCTTGTGGTCGAGGCTCCAAGAGGATTCTGAGGTCAGCTCCATCCCTGTAAGATTAGCTGTAACATGTTGGGAAAGTGACTTCACCTCTCTGAATCAGAGAAAGATAAGAGATCACCTGTCCGAGGGCACAGAGTTAGTTTGTCACTAAGTGCAAAGCCACCCTCTTAACCATCACTTTAGTGGCTGGTGGGGACCTTGGGATTTCCCAATTCTCTCCCCAACCCCAGGTAAGCCAGTGCCCAGACAGCACTTGTGCACACCTGGCCAGGTGCAGGATCCAGACTCCGGAATCTGGTGTGAAGTGTTTTCCATGTTTGAAGGACCATGTAGCCGGAGAGCGAATGGAGTCACAAGGGGTCAGGGGCTATAAGAGGGGGCTTCTGTACTCCCCCATAACTCCCCCTGAGCCACACCATGAATTTACCTAAGGCAGCTCCCTGGGCCGCCTAGTTCAGTGGTGTCGATGAGGTTGAAGCCATGGACTCGTTCTCGGAGGTCCTGAGCATCACCATCCTCCAGCCCCAGGCTGAACTTTGACCTCACCCATGCGTTGAGCTCTCACCCCGGTCTTGGGGGTCTAGGGCTGGGCCTGTTAAACCCCAGCACAGCGCAAGCTGCATCAGTCACCTTGGGCTAAGTGTTGCTGCAGTAACAAATGTCTCTCCTAATTGCAACATCTTACAAAGCACTCCTTCAAGCATTGGCCTCAACTCTGCTGAAGAAGAAGTTTCTGGAAGGAGAAAGCACTGAACGAGTAGCACCGTTTGAGACATCCAGCCGCGGGACATGCCAGGCTCATGGTGGAAGGGAAAGAGAGATGGCAGGACTGCTCTGTGGCTCTTAACATTCCTTCTCTAGAATGGCACACCTCTCTTCCTCTCACATTTCACTGGCCAAAGCGAGTTGTATGGCCAGGAGCAACATCGACAGGGCAGAAATGTTTAATCCTCACACGAGGAGAGGCAGTGAATACTTGGAACAAACCCAGGATACTAGAGAGACCTTTATATCATTCATTCATTGATTCATTCACTCACATTTGTGATAAGCTCTTAGCAAGACCAGTTGGTATGGACTGAATTGTGCCCTTCCCACATTTGTATGTTGAAGTCCTAAATCCCCAGTGCCTCAGAATATTGCAGTTGAGATAAAGTCTTTAAATAGGTAATTAAGTTAAAATGAGGTCATCAGGGTGGGCCCTATGCCAATGTGACTGGTGTCCTTATAAGGATTGGGACACACATTCAGTGACCACATGAGGACACAGGGGGAAGAGGGCCATCTGCAAGCCAAGGAGAGAGACCTCAGAAGAAACTAGCCCTGCCGACACCTTGATCTCGGACTTCCGGCCTCTAGGACTGTGAGAAAATAAATGCCTGTTGTTTAGGCCGCCCCGTCTGTGGTCCTTTGTTCCAGCAGCCGGAGCAAACAAATACACCAGCTTAGTGCCATGTGAATGAATCAGGCGCAGATCTGCCTGCAAAGTGCGCACAATCTAACGGGCTCCTCCGACAGTCAACTAGGCTTCTAGAACACAGAGTGATGAGTTTCATGATGAGGGAAGCAAGGAGGCTGTGGGAAAAGAGACATATCTAACCCAGTCTTGGGTTGGGGGGTATAGTCAGGGAGGGCTTCCAGGAGGAGGAAACATCTCAGGTGGTACCTAAACAAAGAGTTGGAGTTATCTAAGAAAAAGGGAGGAAATTTTTTTTTAGGGGGAGGTGCAAGTAAGAGCGTGCCTCGTGGGTTCTGGGAACTACAAGGGGTTTACTTTGCTTAGAGGGGAAGAGAGAGAGGGAGGGGCTGGAGAGGTTGTTGGACCAAGCCCAAGAAGGCCTGATGTAGAATCTGCCTTCTTATGTGTCCCCCAGAGGGACCAGGAAGAGAAAGGGGGTGGTGGCTTCCTGGATACACCTGCCGGAGGAGCGTGCTTCTTGCTGGGATGGTGGAGATGATGAGGGGCCTCAGGTGTGCTCTGCTGATGGTTGGGAAGCTGGATTCGAGGGAACAGCCGTCACCCCAATATGCACAGAGAGGCTCAAAGGAATCTAGGGTATAGATGTTTCTTCCTCTAGGAAGCCCTCCCTGACCATCCCTCCAAACCAAGACTGAGTTAGATATGTCACTTTTCCCATAGCCTCCTTGCTTCCCTCATCACAGAAATACTGCCCCCATTACAACAAGCCAACAGGCCCCTAACTCAGAAGTGCTCTGGCATTGGCTGTCAGTTATATCTGGCTGCCCGGGAGCACACACCCACACACACCCACACATACACACAGGTGTGCGGATGTACACGCAAGCACTGTATTAGCTTGCTCAGGCTGCCGTAACAAAGTTCCACAAACTGAGTGGCTTAACCAACAGAAATTTACTGTCTCACGGTTCTGGAGGCCGGAAGTCCAAGATCAAGGTATCGATCGGCAGGGCCGTGTTCCCTCTGAAATGCCAGAGAAGAATCTGTTCCAGGCATCTCTTAGTTTCTGCTGGTTTCTTGGCTTGTGGCAGCACAACTCCAGTGTCCACAGGGCGTCCTTCCTATATGCGTGTCTGTGTCCAAATTTCCCCCCCTTATAAGGACACCAGTCCTATTGGATTAAGGGTCCACCCCACTCCAGTACGACCTCAGCGTTAACTCTTTACATCTGCAAAGATCCTGTTTCCAGATAAAGTCACATTCTGAGGTCCTGGGGGTTAGGACTCCAACATGTGAATTTTTAGGGGGATGCAATTTAATCTATAACAGCCCTCATAAAGATAGACCCACATGCAACAGGCCAAACAGACGCACGGATTGTCACGAGGAAACACAGTCCCCCAAATATACACAAACGGCAAATCTACCAAATAGGGATTCGTGAATATATATGTTCCCCGCCCTCCTCACATGACTGGCAAGCAAGCGCACAGACGGACACAGACACAGACAGACAAAAGGTGTTTGCTGCATACAGTAGGAGGCAGACAGCTCTACAGATGCAGAGGCACAGAAATACTGCCCCCATTGCAACAAGCCAA